TGTAATCACACATTGATTTTTATTTTTAACAAAGAAAATTATATTATTTTTAAATAAAGTGCACAAAAAATTTAATCTTTTTATCCAATTAGTAAATTTTATTTATTAAGTTAATATACTTTTTATAATAAATCAATATAAAAATAAAAAAATAATAAAAACTTAATATTATTAAAGACAAAAAATAAAGTTGAAAATAATTACATGAATACTAATTCAAAATTGTGGCAAAAAAATTAATAAATTAAAATGAATAAATTTGTCAATAAAATTAAAAAATTTCAATTCATTAGTGATTAGTACAAAAAATTACTTTAGGTAGCATTTTCAATCTGTTAACGATTTAAATCTTAACCATTATTCTTTAATCCTGAACCATTAAATAAAAAATTTTACCAAAATCTAATTTATAACAGTTTCAAAATAAATAAGTTTATCAAATGCTTATCCTTAGTAGTTTAGGCAAAATCAATAACTACTACCTCAAACCATTATACCAAACGAGCCTTTAGACTCTACCTTTTCTAATGAGAGTCAAGATTGATATACACTGTATTATCTTAATCGTAATATTTTTAGAGAATAGTATGCATCAACCGACTCTCATAAAAAATTACAACAATACAATAGTATAATGCTGTGTAGGATTGTAATATTGTAGTCATGATGTGACACTAAATAAAAATGACATGATATTAAAAGAGTAAATACATACAATATTATGAGTCGACACCTCAATAAAATAAAAACCAATTATATAATAACATATTATGCTATAAATTTACTAGCATTTTCAAAAAAAATTAACATGTTTAATAATATGCATCGAATGCTTAATAATATTTTTGACCTGCCATATTATAAAATTAATAATGTTTTTGATATGCACTAAAAAATCATACAACTTAACAATGTATTTGGAATGATTATAGATATTAGATTAATTTAAAAATTAAGATGCGTGATTTATATTTATAAATTACTAAATTTAATAGTTAAT